AGAAGAAGAAGAAGAAGAAGAAGAAGAAGAAGAAGAAGAAGAAGAAGAAGAAGAAGAAGAAGAGTCAGTGAACTTCCTGTCCTCCACTTCCTGTTGTTTCTGGCAGTAGCAGATGGCCCAGGATCCAGCTCTCCCGCACATCCCTGGTCCCAGACCACAGTAGAGTGCTTTGCACCTAACCCTTACTCTAAACAGTGGTTCTTAACCTGTGGGTCGCAACCCCTTTGGGGTCTAATGACCCTCTCACAGGGGTTGCCTAAAACCATCAGAAAACACAGATATTTACATTACGATTCATCACAGTTAAGAAGTCACAACAAAAGTAATTGTATGGTCGGGGGTCTCCACAGCAGGAGGAACTGTGTCAGAGGGTGGTGGCGTTAGGAAGGTCGAGAACCGCTGATCTACAGGAAGAAGTACTTGTGTTTTGAAGGTCCTGGGGATTTCAGTGTCAAATATTTGCATGCCCTTGAGCAGGTGCTCAGTCCCCATGCCTATACGGTCTAGGTTTCTGCATTTGTAAAAGAATACAGCACTGTTTCCAATTTAATGGCCTGCCTTTGATTTTTGTACCTAGGCTTCAAGATGTGAATTTCAGGGAAGCCAGGGCAGGGTTGTTAGGAGTTGACCGTAGTTCTTTCAACTGTGCTGAAAGTACTAACTTGTGACCCTTGCAGGTGGTTCCCAGGGAAGGGCAAGCTCTCCCCATCTGTCTCTCTGTCTGTCTGTCTGTCTGTTTTGTTTTAGCTATTTTGTTTTGAGACTTGCTATGTAGCCAAGTAGCTGAGTACCAAGGACGATCTTAGACTCTCTTTCTTTCTTTCTTTCTTTCTTCCTTCCTTCCTTCCTTTCTTTCTTTCTTTCTTTCTTTTTTAAAATAGATTAATTTAAATAAATTGTGGAATTTAATTTCATTAGGCTGCATTTTGTGAAGAATTCCCAAGCTTCATGTTTCCTGATGTACAAGAATTAGCAGTAATAGCTTAGTTACTATAAATAATGCTGTGGGAAGCAGGGCGTCTGTTTTGGAGGTAGGACTATACAGACTATGATTCCAAACCTGCTTGGTCTACATGGAAGCAGAAGGTTCTGTCTAGGAAGGTAGCCAAGGTGCAGGAAAGATGGCTGAGCTTCCTCTTTAGGGGTGGCCAACTCTTGAACGGAGATGACAAGATATCCACATGGCCTTTATAGTTCCCACCACTAATAGCCCTTTTTTGACCAAGTGCAATGTTGTAGGCTATCCACCAGAGAAGACTGATCAAACGTGGGTTTGTGCCAATAGAAAGTCTATGTTAGCCAGCCGGCAACTGCCCTGGGTGTTCGGGATCCCAATGGAGCCCTGAGCTTTTCTCGGGGTGAGCTTTTAGGCACAAAAATCGTGTTCTGGGTTGACATACATCAGTTATCAAGAACAGTTAGCCAAAAGCAAACTACAAAAGCCAGAAAGCAAGGTTAGCACATTTAGAGACTTTCCCAGAACTAGGGACTTTGATGGATTGAATCTTTGTTTCACTTTTGGCAGGAGGTGCTGTCTATGTGCTGAGTTTTACAGCCCAAATGATATTTCTATCATGGAGCCAGTTGAACTAAGGTCTGGAGGCCTATTAAGTTTTGGGGGCCTGTTGTGGAATATTATTTTAAATAGGCAAAGATGGGTTACATTTGTTTTTGCTGTGGAGTATTTAACAGTATAAAGGTGTGTTACATTTGTTTATGCTACATTTGTTTAACAATGTAAGGATGTGTGTTTCACTGTGTAAAGATGTGTTGCATTTGTTTAACCTTGTTGGCCTAAGGCACCTGATTGGTCTAATAAACAGCTGAACGGTCAATAGCTAGACAGGAGAAAGGATAGGTGAAGCTTGCAGCAGAGAGAATAAGTAGTGCTGTGGGGTGTGAATATATGTTGTTCCCATTTGTTAATAAATAAGCTGCTTTGGCCTATAGGAAGGCAGCTTAGAGGCAGGATGGAAATCCAAGCAGAGATACAGGAAAGAGGCAAGCAGGAGGAGAGATGCCAGCCCCACCACTCAAGGAGCAACAAGATGCCAGCAGACCAGTAATGCCACAGCCACATGGCAACATCTAGATGAATAGAAATGGGTTGAATTAAGTTATAAGAACTAGTTCATAGTTTAGTTTAATTATTAATTAATTAATATAATTAATATAAGCCTCTGCATGTTTACTCAGGACCGAGCAGCCACTGAGCAAGGTAGGACCAGAGAAACTTCCATCTACAAAGTAGGAGGAGAAATCTAGGCTCAAGAGAAGAAGGAGAAAAAAAGAAGAAAGAGGAGAATGAGGAGAAAGTGGGACATACCCAGGGTGGGAAGCCAGGCAGCCGCCAGCCAGACACGACCAGAAGCAGGGAAGTAAGATACCCAGAAGGAAAGAAAAGTAAAAAGCCCCGAGGCAAAAGGTAGATAAAAAGAAACAGGTTAATTTAAGTTAAAAAAAAAAAAAAAAGCTAGCTAGAAACGAGCCTCAGCCGGGCTAAACATCCGTAACTAATAAGAAGTCCCCGTGTCATGGGAGT